CAAACCCGAAGCCCAGGACAGTTGACGGCTTAGGGTGTAAGAACCCTAAACCCTAAACCCCAAACCCTAACCCCTAAACCTTAAACCCTAAACCCTAAACCCTAAACCCTAAACTTTAAACCCTAAACTTTAAACCCTTAACCCTAAACCCTAAACTTTAAACCCTAAACCCTAAACCCTAAACCCTAAACCCTAAACCCCAAAAACTCGCCTCGCGGCGGTCGAAGAATTCGAACTCCGGCTCCGGCTCCGCGTGGGGAGCTGCGAAGCGGAAGTCGTCCTCGCCGGCTTTAGGGTTTAAGGGGGGTTTAGAGGTTTCAGGGGTTTAGGGTTTAGGGTTTAGGGTTTAGGGTTTAGAGGTTTAGAGGTTTAGAGGTTTAGGGTTTAGGGTTGAGGGTTGAACACATGGGCCCTTAGGGGATTCTAGCTTTAGGGTTTAGGGTTTTAGGGGTTTAGAGGTTTAGGGTTTAGGGTTTAGAGTTTAGGATCTAGGGTTTATTTAGGTTTTAAAGTTTAGGGTTTGGGGGTTTAAGTGGTTTAGAGGTTTAGGGTTATAGGGTTTAGGGTTTAGGGTTTAGGTTTTCGGGCTTCGGGTTTAGGTTGTAGAGTTTAGGGTTGAGGGGTTTCAGGTGTAGGTTTTAGGGTTCAGGGTTGAGGGGTTTAAGGTGTAGGTTTTAGAGTTTAGGGTTTGGGGGTTTAGGGCTTTAGGGGTGTAGGGTTTAGGTTTTAAAGTTCAGGGCTTAGGGTTTAGGGTTTAGAGGTTTAGGGTTTAGGGTTTAGGGTTTAAGGGGCTTAGGGTTTAGGGTTTGGGGGTTTAGGGCTTTAGGGGTTTAGGTCTTTAGGGGTTTAGGGTTTAAGGGTTAAGGGTTTAGGTTTAAAAGTTTAGGGTTTAGGTTTTAGGGGTTTAGGGTTTTAGCGTTTTAGCGTTTTAGGGGTTTAGGGTTTAGGTTTAAAAGTTTAGGGTTTAGGGGTTTAGGGGTTTAGGGCTAGGGTTTTAGGGTTTAGGAGAGCAGGATTTTGAGCTGTCGGGGTGTATGGTTTACGGCTAGGGCTTTCGAGTTTAGGGTTTAGGGTTTTCGAAGGGTCACTTCGTATAAGGGTTTGAGAAAGGATCTTTGATAATTCACATAACTGGAGCAGGACATTGAACGGAGATGATGGTGTAACCATATAAGGGGCTATGAGGGGATACTATTACCAGTATTTAACTCCGACCGCTGCAATACGGTGCGCCTGAGAAAGGATTTCAGAAGGGCTTCATGAGGGTATTGTAAGGTTGGAGAGGGTTGTGGGGGTTTAGAATTTCGGCGGGTCCCCGTAGGATTTCACGACCCTACGTTCCAAAGACTGATGGTTCTAGCCTTCTGGACTTAAAGATAGGGTTTTGTTAGTGTTCACTTACTTCCCCAAGAAGCCACGCAGATCATTACTAGACTATACGAACCCTATAGTTTTAAAGGTTGGGTATTGGAGCACTAAGTTCAAGACCGACTGCCTACCGCCTCTGCATTGCCTAATCCGCCACAGCTTGTCCTGTCCCCAAACCGATGGTTACTTACTGGGGTAGTCTTCACTGCACATTCAACTACTACAGTATTCTGAGTTCAGCTAAACCCCAAACCCTAAACGCCTAAACCCTAAACCCTAAAACCCTAAACCCTAGGCCCTAGACCCTAAATCCTTTAAGCCCTGAACCCTATAAACCCTAAACCCTAAACTCGAACCCTAACGCCTCGCCCCCAACTCAATGCCCTTGAAGTCCTCGTTCCTTGAAGCATAAACAAACGTCGGATCCTCCACGCACATCTTCAATGAAGAAAATACACAATACGTAAAATTGAAACCCAAACGCTCAACCTCGAGGAAGTATCAAGCTCTGCGTTTCTGTGGCTCCTGAAGAACCTGCGTAATTACTGTGTCAGGTATATATATATATATATGTATATATATATATATATATATATATACGAGGAGTCTTACCACGGGTTACTGGAAAAGCATCACTGCATGCCCGGCTTGAGGCAGCGTGACTCTGACCCTGTCCCTGCATAGATCAGCTGCCCCACTGCACCGGTCAAAGAATTCAGGGAATTCCGGTTAGGGTTTAGGGTTTAGGGTTTAGGGTTTAGGGTTTAGGGTTCAGGGTTTAGGGTTTAGGGTTTAGGGTTTAGGGGATGCCTGGGTTCGTAAGATGGCGTGCCCGGAGACCACAGAGCTGAGTGTACTTGACACCCCCTCCATAGCCACCTTCAGCTCTGCTGGCCCTATGGATCGCCCGCTCCATTGATGCTACCTTCGCTATGCAACCCTAAACCCTAAACCCTAAACCCCTAAACCCTAAGCCCTAAACCCTAAACCCCTAAACCCTAAACCCTAAACCCTAAACCGGACTGGCTAGCAAGGCAGGCCTGAATGCTTTCATGGATGGCCGCGGCTTGCTTTTGCGAGGTTTGGTTGGCCCGGTCCGACGCTTGCATTAGCTGGCCCAGATTCCGACTATGGGCTTCTTGGAGCTCTTGGAGCATCTCACGTTGCTTCGTGAGCTCCGCAACCATACAGTAGGACCCGGAGCAAAGGTGGTAGACTTTGGCCCTTCAAACTTCAGTCAACCCTTGGAAGTCTGTAAAAAGGGTTTAGGGTTTACCTCAAGAACCCCAAACCCACCTTTTTGTAGGCTCTTATTATAAACCCTAATATGGGATTTATAGGGACCCTACAAAAAAGTAGGTTTTGGGTTCTTAGGGTTTAGGGCTGATTGAAACATCCCATGCACAGATTCTTCCCATCCCCTACCCGGCCTTACCCTTAATTACAAGGAGCATTTTGCTTGGGGATGTGCCCAAAGACTAGTTGGGTTTAGGGTTTAGGGTTT